TCTTTTTTATTCAGTTTCAATTGAAGGTCTGATTTGGATATCTTGAAACTCATTTTTCGAGTTTGGGAGGGGTGTGAGTAAGATGGCGAGCCGTAGGCTGTCGTTATCTCTGAAAATAATTATTTTATGAAAAATAGGGATTATCAGGCAATTCGCGACAAAAAAAGGAGAAAAATCGGTTGATAAACGCAAAAAATCGTCGAAAAAAAAAACAAAACAAACCCCCCGTAAATCGACACGGGCTGCTAAACAATGCGCGTCTTGTCATATCGGAGCATCGTTGCAAATGAAAATGGCGCGCGTTCAAATATTAATTAATTGTCGGCCGGCCGGGCCGAGCCGGGCCCTGGTTTTTTTCCCTCGGGCCGGCCCGCCGGCCAGCCCGTCAGATTGCAACCCTGCTTTATTGTCTTTGTATTCTCTCTTTGTCATTTCCATCCATTTGACTGATCGACTTTTCTGATTCTCTTTTCTTTATTATTCTCCTTGTGTTCATCCTTATTCTTCCTCTGATTCTATTTTTGCTGTATGATGTTGTCCTCATTTCCCGATCCTCAGTTACCCTATGACGACACCCCGCTGATTTCGCTGACCTACCGATTCGAAAACGCCTTTAATCAGAGGATCGTCGTTCTTGTGATAGACCTACTGGTCTAAAGTACGTCATACAGTATCCTACACCATACATCATCTTAGCTCTTACAGTATCCTACCTCCTACGCATCTCACGTCCTACAGTTTTCCAACTCCCACAGTAGCCTAATCCTACAGTCTACATCGTACATTCTACAGTATCAGTATACATTCTATAGACGGCTATAGCAACTTTTTTTCAAAGATTTTGATGTTCGTTTCGCTTTTGGCATTATTTTTTTTCAGATACCCATCAAAACACATGCCCCCACCGAAGGACTCATCTACCCGATTCTCAAATGTGTGATCCAGAAATTGGAAGGGAATAAGAGGTAGGTAATTTGACTGGTTTTGAGAGTTTTCAATGTTGAGAAGCGTTACAGTTCTAGCATGTCACAGTTTTAGTATTCCTTAGACTGTTATATACCATGCGCAGCCGTTACCCTGTGTTAGAAAACCTCAGACTATTTCTAGACTATGACATTCGATGGCCCAGGAATTTCCTATTTTTTTGCTGGCAACCCGATTTCCAGACAGATATCATCGTCTGAAAGATTGGGATGGACTTCCTGAGATGTACAGAACCTCAAAAATCAAGTTTTTAGAGCTTCCTGATGTGTGGAAAGTGGTTTTCGCGAAATTGAAAAAGACACTTTTGATGTCGAAGTTTCAGATTTCAAATATTTTTTCTCTAAAAACTAGGTTTTAGAATTGTATAGTAATAAAAAATGTGTTTAAATTGTTTTTTCAAAATTTCAAAAAGACCTTTATTTTTTAATTCCAGTTTACTAAATATGAGGCCATCAAATCTCAACGACGACCAAGTCGAAGCCAATTTTCTTTTCCGCCAAAATGAACTGTGTGGAACTAATAGTGGAAACGAATTGGTTGTATTTTGTGGAACCGGAATACAGCTGGTCCATAGAGTTTTTCCGGACACGCCAGCTCCACTTTTTCAACCTAGTAGAATTGGTCCATGTCGTCCTGGAAACAAAATTTGCGGTTTTCTGAAAATTTGAAGCTGAAAACATCGATTTTGAAACTTTTGAGTACGAAAAACCGTTCTAAATGACCAAGAACACCTAAAAACCATCAAAAACGCTCAAAAACGAGCATTTTCAAAAAAGTGTCCTAGATGGCTCAGTGGGGTTTGGCACCAGAATTTACGGCCCACAACATCAAAGTTCAAATCCACTAGGGATCAAATTTTTTTGTTTTTTGTGTGGACCTCGGAAATATAGTTGAAGTCTTTTTGAAATGTGCAATATGGTGTTTTAAAGGGGGACTCCGACCAGAAATTTGTATTGCATTAAAATGTGTTAAAATTTATCTATTTTCCGAATATTATTGCGAAAAAATTCAAAAAAAATCCGAAATCCCCGAAAAACGACGTTGAAA